CGTGTGTCCAGCGGAAATGACAACGACAGTGGCAATTACATTGTTGCATGACACAAATAGTGTTGCCTACAACAAGGAGAACAACAATTGTTAAGATATGAGGGCAAGTTAAAGGATAGCAAGGGAAAATGAAGTGGACACGAAAGCGATTCGGGAATACCCTTTTCGAAATTGAGAGTTAATTAAATCACGTGCAACCTAATAAATAAAGAAAATCGTTATAAAAATATTTAACACAAAATTACAGTAAAAGATTTAAAATGAAGAAACATTATGGTATGGTATTTTCCAACTTTAAAAATTAAATTAACTCTTTTTAAGGCAAAATAAGTAAATTCCGATTACCATTGGAATAAAATCATAGTTTTAATCCCATAAAATACAAAACCACATTATACGCTCGGCTTAAATTGTTCATTTAAACGATAATTAAAATTAATGTGGAAAAATAACTTGACATCAAAACTGAAGCTTTAATTTCAAACAAGAAACCATACATTGAGAACGAAAGACCATTAAAACTATATTCCGAAATGACGAACGCGAGATTAAATAAATGACGTACATTCTGTGTTTTGACTACTGAGTAATTCCCAGGCAGATACAAAAAAAAAAATAATAATAAAAATGAAAATATCATTTGACTGACAGTGCGTGTGTTTCTGGGTGGCAGAGAAGGTATAAATTTAATTGATGTCATGTCGCTGAAAATGTGGCATTTTTGCCTGCTTTAAACGCGTGGCTGCCCGCGTGTCGTTTGTTCAATTGTTATCAATTGTCCTTTTCGAAAGTCCTCGGTCCGTGCCATATGTCCTGTGTCCCGTATTCTGTATTCAGTATCCTGTGTGCATGTTTACCGTCTGTCCTGTGGCCAAACCCATTCGCCATTTACCACTGGCCATTCTCCATTTCCCATTTCCCATTTCCCATTGCTGTTGCCATGGACGAGTGCCAAACTAATTGCTACAAATTAGCGCCTTTATGCTCGACCCAACTGCTCGTGGATCTGCCAAAGACCACGACTGCCTGGGCTGAGCACATCCTGACCCTTTGTCCTGACTTCGGGGGTCCTTGTCCCACTTCCATTCTCGCCGTCGTCAGTGTGCGTGTACAACTCAATTATGCCACAATACACATTAATACGGCGGCTAAATTTGGCTCAACTGTTGACAATTGAGAATGCCTTTTGCTGGAATACTCCGATGTCAGCAGTCACCGTTTCTCTAAATGGGTTTATTTAAGGAGTGAAACCTCTGAATATTCATATTGAATACAAATTAAATAATTGAGTAACTTGAATTTCTTTTTTTTTTTAAGCAAAATTCTTGCATAATATTGAACAAACTCTTTTCTGTCCAACCTTAAATGAAATCCGATTTAATTTACAAGCTGTTCAATGCAGCTGAGAATGAAGGATTACATTTTACGTTGACCCAACAAAACGGCTTTTATTGGTCCAAATAAATCAAAACTTTTGCCAATAAAGTCCCCAAAGAGCAGAGTCAAAGTCAAAGTTCTATAAAGTGTCTGGTCTGTGAGATGAAAGTTCTCCGTTGCCAGACAATTTGGGCCACTTAACACCTCGCTGATTGCCAGCCGGAGCGCAACAAATCGTTTATTTTGAATTATTTTAATTTTGAGCATTTTGCACTGATTTTTTTCCCCTCCAGTTGCTAAATATAAAAAATTTAGACGAATTTCGTGCGCTTGTTTGCATTTGCCTCCAGCTGCTTTTTGCTGTGTATATTTTTTTTAAACTTATTCTTATGTTTTTTTCGCTCGCTTTTGTTGCTGCTGAAGGAAGGCAACATGGACAAACGACAATTTGTGTCGCTCGGTTGTCAGGACAACAACAACAACCGGGGAGCGTAATAATAAATGAGAAGTGGAAAAGTTTTGCCGCCGCCGTGCTTATTGTCAAGCTCGGCCAGGCCATAAAAAACCAACTTCAATGGCAATAAGGCGACAAAAAGAGAGCTCGGCAAAAAAAAAAAAAACAAATTTGTTGAAAAAAAGCAGCCGGACCAAAAGAACAACGGCCAAAACAAAAAAAACAAGAAAGGAAGCTAGCTTCGGCAAGCCGAAGCTTATATACCCTTGCAGTCATCAAATATGTCGAACAAAACTCATAAAGGCTAGACAACATCGAAGCTAAGACGATTTTTCTATTCATTTTCCATATTTTTGACTATAGATCATATGGGAGCTATACGATATAGTTGTCCGATTTTAATCAAATTTAACTCGTAATTCAAGAGTCGTAAGAACACTCTATATTCCAAAAATCACTTGTCTGATGAAAAACAACGATGTTATCAATTTATTTCCATTAATTCTATATATAATTTTCGATCCCTCCTATGGCAGCTATATGATAGAGTTATCCGATTTTGATCAAATTTAATCCGAAATTCAATAACAGTTAGAAAACGCCATCTTGAAGAATTCAAGTCGATCTGATGAAAAACAATAGAGTGAGAATTTTTTATTTCATTCTCTTGTATTGGAGCTATCCGATATAGTCGGCCGATCCGGCCCATTCCGACTTATATACTGCGTGCAACAACTACACAACTTTTGGGAAAGTTTCAGCGAGATAGCTTTAAAACTGAGAGACTAGTTTACATAGAAACCGACAGGAGGACAGACGGACAGACGGACAGACGGACAGACAGACAGACAGACAGACGGACAGACGGACAGACGGACAGACGGACAGACGTACATACATATTTCGATTCTGCTCGTGATGCTGATCAAGAATATATATACTTTATGGGGTCTGAGGTGTCTCCTTCACTGCGTTGCAAACTTCTGACTGAAATTATAATACCCTTTTGCTCTGCAAGGGTATAAAAAAAACAAAAAACAGAAACTGAAAGGAGGAAAAGTTCAAGGCACTGACTTTATAGCTGCAATAATGCCCGTAGACCAACTGGCGGATGGTGAGAGGGCCAAAAAAGGTGAGCCACACGCCAGCAACAGCGAGCCGCAAAACAAAGCCAGTTGCAGCCAGCGGAGGGGGGAGGGGGTGGTGCTGGGAGGTGGGGCAGGTGGCAAGGTGGGCGGGGCAAGGCAGGAAGCAACAAGGCCACGCCGTATCCCGCCGAATGTGTTGAGGCACTTTGGCGAGGTAACGAAATGTAACAAAGTGCCGGGGCGTGGCGGTCGCCTGGTTTCAGCAGGATCCAAAAGGATGGGGAAACGGGGAACCGGGGAACGGGGGAACGGGGTATTAGGTCAGGTTTGTTATGTGGCTTACACCGGAAATTTGTGTTTAGAAGGCCGCTGGCGCCATTCTTGTTGCTCTCTTTGTTACCCCTAACGAGGGGAAGGATAAGACCCTAATATGGTCAACTAAATTTAACTTTTTAACAAGATACGGAAGATTTATCTCAACTTCTTGATTGGCGGCTAAATTATATAGTTAACTAGTTAGTGGAGAGCGCAAACAACGATTCTAAAAGTGTAAACGCAAATTCCTTATAGAGCGAGGGTAAGGAAACTGAATAAAAATATAAAGAAAATGCTGATTTTGGTTTAATTCAATATTAAAGATATTTCCTAAAAATTTGTATACTCCAACAAAAGTTTGACTTTCAAGAGTTAATGCGTAGCGATGTCTTATCAATAATGTGAGCAATTAGCAATTGAATATTTATCTTTGCCACAGCACCGCATTAATGGCCAGGCCAATGACAAAAGGACAATGCTGTTCGACGGCACGCAAAAGTCAAAAGCACCGCAGTCCCACAGGACATGGGACAGACAGTTGGGTAAACAGACAAACCAACACGGACCCGAAATAAACACGGCTCCTGAGTGACAGAGTGACAGACTGATGGGCAGGCCCCGCTCACATTAATAAAGTCAATAGAGACAATAGTTGAAAATTAACAAATGAATTGAAATTACTTAAACAAACTCATTAGTCGGCGGAATGTCAGGAGTCCTGCAACTCCGCTGACACCATTGGAACGCCCATTCCCCCAGGATCAAACGGACAAGTATTAATATTCCGGCGCAAATGTTGGTGGGCGGTGTTATTATTTTTTTTTTTTTGTTATCCCCGGCCCAGTTGAACATTGGCCAACGCCCCTGCGATTGTCGATCGAATGCTCGCCAGTTTTTCCTCCTATTTTCCCCCGGTCGCCATCGCATGTAATTAAATTTTCCAGCCTTAATGTGCTAAGCATTGTAATTTACTCCTCCCAACTGCCCGCCTGCCAGTCACGAGTTTAAATTGTCAGAAACTGTGACAGCCCGACACCTTTTCGCCCAGGTGTGGAGACCGGCGAGGCGACAAGCCGCATATCTATAATTTTCATTAATTTTAATTGGCTTTGGGTGTGGGCGTCGATGGATGTCGCTCAATTACAATGCATTCAACCTTTTATTGAATATTAAACTTTCGCTCGGAGTTTCTGCTTACGAAGGGGTTAAGCGAAGCTTTTAGTTTTATTCGACGTCGGAAAATCGACATTAAAATATCATATTTTAACAATGGTAAGCGCGGTGATTAAAAGCCTACCCAGTTATGTCCCAAAATATTAACCAATTAACTTTTAGCGCTTTATTTAAATACATGAATATATAATTTAGCAAGAAATTTTTCCAATAAAATGTTTTTTTAACAATTTAACAAACACCGACAAAATAAAGTTAACAGCTTGAAGTTAAATACAAGGCCTACTGGATCTCTATTTTTGGAAACCCGTTTTTATCTGCAACTTCTATTCAACTTGAGAGGAAGTTATAAAAAGAACGATTTGATTGTAATTTTTCCTTGTGCACAAATCTCTTCTTGAACCTCTTCAGATTAATGATTTTTTATAATATATTTTTTTTAATTCATAAGAAACTAGTTATAACAACCGACTCGTCTTTTTGCAATTATTTGCCCTAATTGTTTGCGGAATAGAATATGTATAATACATTCATTTATAACTAGTAGTAAATAAACAGCGTTTTGTTTCTATAACAGAGTAGGTTTGCATTCTTTGCTTTCGAGGCATGCCACAAACATTTTAAAATCAGTAAGTTTCAAGCATATTTTTTTTATTGGATATTGTTTTGATAGTCTGGGAAGCGTTTTAAAGAACGCGCGGCCCGCAAAATTCAAAATTGTTTGATTGTTTTGCTTGGATTTTGGAATATTCGCAAAGATGCTGTCCAAGTGGTCTGCTATCTTGGCCCAAAGGCCCGAGAAGCGATACCTGCTGCGCCAAGCCCTTTTGTTTGCCCAGCAGGGTAATAGGGTCAAGCTTCACCACTGTTGTGGTGAGAAAAAAACTGTTCCCTCGCGTTCGGAACATATAACTGCTATGAAGACCGACAAATATGATGTGTTAGTGATTGGCGGTGGTGCTGTGGGTTGCGGAGTGGCCGTGGATGCCGCCTGTCGAGGCTTGAAAACCGCTTTGATCGAGGCGGATGACTTTGCCAGTGGGTCCAGTTCGCGAACCACCAAACTGATCGACGGCAGTGGTTCATATCTGGGCACTGCCCTTCGGGAAAAGGACATCGAGCAGCTGTACATCATGCTGCAGATGATGAGTGAGCGAGTGACCATGCTGAAGAACGCTCCCCACCTGAATCGCATTCAGCCCATGATTATTCCCGTTTACAGTGTGCTGGGCATGCCTTGCACCTGGCTTAAACTGAAGGTAGGGTACTCAGAAGAAAATGCATGGTGCCATTTTTAGGACCGAGTTGAAGCAAACACCTTAAGGGGGGCTGCTCATGTAACATGTCAAAAAGTAGTCGTTTTTTGGGAATGTTTTTCACTTAGAAAATGAAAACTTACACGAATAATTTTTTGCATATATTTGAAGACATGTTTAAAGTATGAGAAAAACATTTTTTGAAAATTCTAAAAAACAAAATGGCGGACTTATTCAAGGTCGCGTGTGGCTCGACGCGGCTGAGGGACTTATTGCGGTACAGTGTGAAGGCCAAAGTTTTCATTTGAAACATACAAAAAAAATTGTTTATTATTCAGCAAGGTTCCCCGAGTGCATGAATGTCTGCAACTTCAAAATATTCGATTTTAAAATATTGAAGCCCCCCTTAAATGATAACTTCTTAGTATTTTTTTTAGTAAAAGTGGAGTAATTTTTATAGTATAAACATAAACAATGTATTTCTTAATAATTTATATACTTAGTACTACACTTAAATAGGGAATATTTATTGTTTTTTTTATTATTAATTGACTGCCTAATAGTTAATTCACTTTCTTCTTGAGAAGTATGATTTAAATTTAAAAATGTTGTTTATTTATTTTTTTTTTTTTATTTTAGATGTACGACTTAATATCCGCCGCTTCGAATGTGCGTGGCTCGCACTTCCTTTCCAAAGAATCCACCCTGTATGAGTTTCCCCTCCTGAAGACAGAGGGCCTCCGAGGCGGAGTGGTCTACTACGATGGCCAAGTGGACGATGCCCGGATGTGTCTCGCCTTGGTGATGACCGCCGTCGCTCTGGGCGCCAATGTGGGCAACCACATGGAGCTGGTGGACATGATTCCCCAGGAGGGATGCTGTCGGGTGGTGGGTGTCAAGGACAAGATCTCGGAGGAGGAGTTCTACATCCAAGCGAAGTCGGTGATCAATGCCACGGGCACCGGCACGGATGCCATTCGGAAGATGGACAAGGAGGGCACTGCTCCCATTTTGATGCCCACCCTGGGAACCCATGTCTCATTGCCCCGATACTTTGGTTCCGGTCACTACGGCTTGTTGAGTCCTGCCCTGAAAAAGGAGGATCCCACCATTGTTATGGTGCCGTTTGAGAACCACACGGTTCTGGGCATTCGCGAGTCGGAACTGGATGAAGTGGCGGGCATTGGAAGTCCCACTCCAGATCCGGATGATGTGGACTGCCTGCTGGAAGCAGCGAAGGAAAGACTGAGTCCCTGTGTGGAGTTGGGACGCTGCCATGTTCTCAGCGCCTGGACGGGCATAAAGCCCAATGTTAGTTGTCCCACCGATAAGGATGAGGACGAGGACGACAACCGGGGTGCTCCCATCAGCAGCTACATGATCGAAGTGAGTGGAAGTGGCCTGATCACTTTGGCTGGAGGACGTTGGAGTAGCTATCGCGTGATGGCCGCCGATGCCGTTGATTTGGCGATCCAATCCTGTGGACTCTGCGACGACCACGTGACCTCCAGTTGGACTCAGGACCTGAAGCTCGATGGTGCCGAATATTGGTGTTGCATGCTGCCACTGGAATTTGTGCAGGACTACGATGTGCCCATGGATGTGGCGCAACACATCTCCGATTCCTATGGCTACAATGGCCACGCTTTGTTCTCCGGTGCTCCGGAACTCAAGAAGCGTCTGCATCCCAACTTTCCCTACATCGAAGCGGAGATTGTCTATGCGGTGAAGAACGAGTATGCCTGCACCTTGGTGGACATCATCGCTCGGCGACTGCGGATTGCCTTTGTGGATGCAGCTGCCACGTTGCACATGTTGCCCAAGATCCTGAAGATCATGGCCAAGGAGACAGAATGGAGCGAAGATGAGCAGAAGGAGCAGATGCAGGCTGCCCAGGAGTTCCTCGTTCGCCAAATGGGACTGGGTTCCATCATCAAGCCCAGAAGTGTCGGCCAGAGTAAGACAAAGAAGAAGTCAACCACGGCATCTTGTTGCTGCCGAGCAGCAGCTCGAAAGGAGGCCAGAAGCTACTCGAAGGCTCCTCTACCTCTACCAATAGAGGTCACAAATGAGGACAGCTCCAAACCTCTCAGCACCCAGAGTTCCAGCAAAGACTTATTCACATCGGGTATAACTCATAACTCGGTAGTGGAATGTGTTAAGCACGATGAATCGAGGTCTATTCCCACTGAATGGTCGGATAAAAAGCGGGAACTTATTATGACCACTTGGCGCAACAAATTTATGTGCTGACTTTTTTTCAAATTATGTGAAAGTTTGATTTCAAATTCAATTAAGTTAAATGAAAAATACCTCAATTTTAAATAATAAAAATTAAAAATATTTGTCACCGATAAACGGGTCCTATAATTTCAAAAAAAAAAACTAGTGTCATATTGCATAATTTTTTGACTGGTCGGTTTAGCATCTACACAAAGTTAAAGACAAATTTTGTTCATCGCAGGAATTTATTTGCCTCTGGCCCGATAGCAAACCCATCAAGTAAATCAGATTCTGGACAAATATACACATTTAAAATTGGACCATTTTTATTTTTTTTTAAATGTAGATTTCACAGATTTAAGTTTTTCATCTGCTCTTTAATTTATCCTCAAAAAGTAATATTTCATCCATTGGAATGGATTCTTTGACTTTTTAAAGAAAATTTAACAATAGCGCTTCGATTTTTCTTTTTCAGCATTCGGCAGTTGTTGACGATTTTTTTCTTCGATTTCTTTATTAATGTTTCTTTGGAAATTTGTCGCTGCTGTTGCTGTCGTTTGTTTTTATAAATTAGCCTTATTTGTTGGAGTGGGAAAATTTGGAGGCATGTTGGAGACTGCGTTGAATTATTGTTATTGGGGCTGAAAACCGTTTCTTGTTGTTTGCCACTCTTTGAATATGCTTATCGTTCATATATTGCTTTATTTATTGGCTGATTGGGGGCCAAAAGTGTGTGTGCTTGTGGGCGGTATTATATAAGCACCATATTTTGCCCATCGACGCTCGTTAGCAACGTAAATGAGCTTTTTATGGCCATATTTTTAAAGTGTATGGAAATTAAATTGAAATTAAAGGAAAATACACCTTTGAAGCATAATTTATTAAAATGTAAATTGGCAGATGTTCAAAGGAATAATTTATTAAAAAAGTTTTTTGTTTTTATGGCAAACAATTTTTCCTTAATTTTACTCTTTTAAATGTTTGGCTAAAAAATTATTGCTGCACTTAATTTGCCTAAAAAATATCGCGGAATAACAAGCTCAACTTCTTAAGTACTCAGTAAAACTATATCACTGGTCCAGCTCAGCACACTTTCACTTTTCGCCACACTTTGCAACAAAAACCATTCTGCGGTCTTTGGGCCGCATTTTTATGCTGATTAGTTGAGTTAACAATTTCCAGCACGCGAAACTATTTCGGGAATTCCAAACTTGAAACATAAATTGCAGTGGCCAACGCCTGCTCCACAACCTTTCTCTCTCGCCAGAAACAACCACTGCGGCTTCAAACAATTTTAATAAGTTTTGGCCGGGAGTCGAAGGAAGTAAGTAATGGGGAAAAATGCAGGCGATGCACACGCGAGCTCATAATAATAAGAATTTTCACCAACGAACTGGGGAACCCTTCGTCCTGCCTGCAGCCATTTCCTACAACCCAGTCAAGGACATTTAGCAAGCTGCCCGCAAAAAACATCAAAAAAATAAATAAGAAATAACGCCTTAAATAGCCAAGAAATGACAAAAAAATAGAGGAGCATAAAAAACGTATGACGGAAGTTGGGCCATAAAAAGCTGAAAAAATTGCGGGGCGACAAACGGAAATAACAGGAAAATAGTGTGCCATAAAATATGCTTTAGTACTTTGGGAGTGAAAATCACCGAGGAAAAGATAAAAAGGTAGAAAGAGAGATCTTGTAAAAGAGGATTTAATGTGGCTGAAATTCGCGGAAATGCAAAAGCTGTGTCGTAAAGACATTAAAACCAATACATATATCTTAATGCATATATTATGCAATTGTTCCATTAAAAATATGTTTTAAAATAAATTCTCATTTATTTGTTGCATGTTGGAATGCATGCATGCCTGCACTCAAGCAATTCGCATCTTTTCAAATAAAATGCCAGCTAGCTTTGGCACTTTTTCATATCTGCAGCATTGGGAAAATAGTAATTCTTGGCCAAACCATGCATAAAATCTTCGCATACACGCAAACACAGTTATCTCGACCTCAGTTGAAGTGGAAATCTGGAGTATGGCGGCTGTGGGGGAAATGGCACTCAGCTGCAAAACATTGGACCAAACGATAAGTGACAAACATGGTAAGGCAAACAAATGTGTATTTTATACATGTGCCCAATGGATGTTGCCGGAAAAGCGGGTAAAAGCGGAAAAGCGGGAAAAGGCGAAGGCCAGAGATGCACAACTGTCAGATAAGTGTGGAGAGCATTTTGCGGAGCGTCTTCTGCCCGCAGGTGACATGTTAAACGTCTTGTAAGCATTTGCATTTCCTTGCTCATAAAATAGAAGAAATAAGATGGAAATAAGAAAATTCTCCTCCTTCGGGGCGGGGGAAAATTTTGCTGTAAAATATGTATATATGTATGGGTGTGGAAATAAGTGAGCAAGCATGACATGGCAGGGGCCAACATCTTTTATCTGCAGTTCATTCATTTTGTTGGCAGCGACTTCAAAAGGGTTGAGTTGTTGGCTTTGGCTTAAAGCATATTTGATTATGTCACAAAATATCCTTGAGCGTAGAACGCTGTATCTGCCTGCCTCTTCGTTTGCTTAGCCAAAGATAAATTTAACATATATGCAAATAAAACACGCCCCTTCCGATTGGCCAAGGCAAAATGGGGAAATTGTTTTCATAAATTTATCAAATGTTCACAATTTACTTCGATGTGAACAATCTTTTGGATAGGCTTAGAAACCTGCCAAAGCAGCAGCAAACAAAAACTACAACTATTTTCGCTTCTAAAATTGCTTTTAATGGAAAAGGTAAACAAACATTTTCTGACAGAGCAAAATATCATGCTCCATTACGTTTATATAAAAGGATAGTGGAATATGTGAACACTTGCTAGTTGTCAATGTGGCAGGAAATTTAAAACAGAGTGAGAAGAAAGCTTTTAAGGATTTTAAAATGTATTTGATATCAAACTATATGGGTTTGCAACCAATGAAAATATTTGGGACATAGAATACAAATTGATTTTAACAGAAAATAAATGTTACGTTTTCATTAAGATAGGATTAAAAAATTCAAAGAAAAATACTGATACTAAATAAATATATAATTCCAGCTTATTTAATGCTTTCCAAAATAAAATGGTTTCTCAAGAGGAACCTTTGACGAAGATATTTTTAGATAATTACTTGGTGGCATCTTTTGAAACAACAAAGGAAATAACCTAATAAGCATATAGACCAAAAACCACTTCAATTGGCTCAAACTGAATCCTTGTAAATTGAGAACGATTTTCCGTCTAATGAGTGAGGCTTTTGAACTACTTATTTTTAGCGAAAATAAGTGCCTCCCCGTGCACTATTTCTCCACAACGAACCGTGAGTCCACCAGTCAATCAATCAAACTAAGAAGCCCATTAAGAGTGGCTCATTAAATTATCAAAGCACTTACCCTTTGCGGGGATCTCGGCCACAGTGGGCGTGGCTGTCATCAGCATGGAAACCGCGGCGGTGATTATTAGCGCGGTGGCCAAACGCCGGACATTGGCCTGCGGCCGTGGGCGGAACCGGTTCCGTGGGCGTGGCAACCGGTGAGGCTCGACCATGGTTGGGAAAATCCTTCTGCCTCGCCTTCCTTCTGCAACGGTTAATGGGGAAAATGTTCAGCACGACAACGGCGTCGAGTTGCCAAATTGTTCGAGGATTTGTGGGCGGAGGTCGGAGTTCACTGGACGACAAACGTTTTCACCTTTAATCACTTAAATGACGTGTAATCAGGAGCAACAACAACAACTACAACAGAGGGGCTGCAATCAACACCAAACTGCCATTGAAATGGAGCGTCATGATGACGAGGTGGCCGAATGATGATGGTGACGAGCCACCTTTACGGCGGCATCAGCCCCAAGTCAAAAATCCGGACATGAAGCCCCCCATTCCGGATCCGGATTCCGGATGCGTGGGAAAAGTTGTTGCTGCCGCTGTTTACACGCGTATATAGTTTGGCCCCACAGCCTTTTGACTTTTGACTTTGCGCCGACTTCTGTTTGTTCTACTCCGAATTTTGGCTCCCCATTTTGCCCCCCTTTCCCGCCAACGTCGAAGTTAATTCTGTGTGCGTTAATTTGAAGCGTTTTAGACTTCGGCTCATCCGGATTAAATATCTTCAGACAGCAGGCAGACAGTAATTTGATTTGTCGACGGTAATTCTGCTTTACCTCACCATTAATTTAACTTTGGTCTTTAAGTTTTTGATTGCGGAACTTGTGGAGTGGGCGAAGAAGTTTGGATAAACAAAAGGAGTTTTCACTTAAAGTTTAAATGGTAAAACAGGACTTTATGGCTTAAGCGAATAAACATTAAAATTGAAATTAAAGTTTACAGAATAAAATGAAAATAAAAGTAAAAGTTTAGCTTCTTAATTAAGGGTTTTAAATAAACTTCTAAAACAGGCATTTGATTCTTAGTAAGAGGATTAACTTAAACTTAAAAGAAAACCAATTCAATTTCAAAGTTTCACAAACAAACAATGCGTATCTCGTCCGTCAAGTTTTCCAATTGGCCCGGTGGATTCAATCACATTTCCTTTGCTGCAACCCCATGGAAATTCTTTTTGTCAAAATCTCAACGTGCAACGTCAAGCTGTCAACGCTCGGTTCGCTGGCAAATCAAGTCTGACAAATGAAATGATTACACAAAGTAAACAGAAAACACGTAACACACACAAACCACCTGTCAGAAACTTCTGTGCACCCGCTTGTTTCCAGTTCCCCGAAAATCCGAATGAAAGCTGAGGCAAAAGCGGACAACATTTCGCAGGCGGAAAGCCAGAAGGGAGTATTATCGAGGAGCAGTGACAAAAACAATATCGCCGGCACATAAAGCGAGCGGAGGGTTCCGAAAATGCAATGGCGATGCCAGCAAAATGGCAATGGCAACACTTCCGTTTCCGCTTCCGGCGCTGCTGGCGACTTTCTCGCACAGTTGGCAAAACGTTGAGCAAACTCAAAGGCAAACTCAAATGCAACAGCGACGGCTGGATGGCGAAACATAACAAAGCTTGTTAGTGTTGATGCCCCACAGCCGTGCAACAGTCTCCCCCTTTTGCTACTTCGTTTTTTTTCTTTCTTTCTTGTCCTGACAAAGGAATGGCGGATATCGCAGGCTGGGGGGATTCTTTCGGTTTGGACCGGTGCATCTGCCAGGACACGGAACAATGGCCACGTAACGTACGAAAATTTTAAACGCTTTTAATATTAAAGCGTCCGGTATTGGGACACAAAAGCCGAAGGACTCAACAACACAGGACCGCCAACAGAGTGCAACACGGCGTGCAGCAACAGCCACATCGCCAAAGGCATGCGGGGCATGCAAACAGCGGAAACTGCATGAAAGTGCCACACAACACAACAAAAATATATATAACTTTTCTGATCAATTCATATGCTGCCCAGTGCTTATCACTCAACCAATAATATGATATAGGTACATAATTGTTTTAATAAAGAAATCTGTGTTCCAATTCTAAAACCAAAGAACATAAGACAAAAATTGAGAATAATAGGTAAAAAAAAATTAATTTTATTTATTGTAAGTTCAATTTTTGTAATTGAATACCAGAAAATTTGAATTAATGTAATGTAAATAAAATTGTTGTTTACAAATTTTTGGATTTCGTTTGAGAATAATTTTATTTGAGAAAAATAAATAGTTTGGAAAACAACAGTATATTTTTCGTTTGTCTAGTGGCTGTCCAAGTAACCCCGGCTACCCTGTACGCTAACCAGATTGCTCTGGGAGGCGAAATCAGCCCAACAACCCAACGCCTGCAACCAGGACTTCTGCCACAACTGAACTATTTCTCTTGCCTTTTTGCCCGGAGTGCATTTTTTTGCCGAGTCCTTAGACTCTGCGGCCAGTTGGCCCTTTCGTGACGAAAATGTTTCGCTTAACTGGATTTTCAAATATTTATTGCAACAAATTATTTTGCTGGTTACATGGCGGCTCTTTGTTTGTGTCTCAACATGGCCAACATCCCATTCCCCTGGTCCCTTCTCCTCAGTTCCCGTTCGTAAGCGGTTTTTATGGCCATTTAGTTTGTTGCATTCCGGCAAAAGGATTCGGTGTTGGGATTTTTGCGGTTTTTTGCACAATTGCTGACAAATTAGGGTATTACAGTTGCATTCAATTTATTTCGAGTGTAAAACCCATAAATTATGGTTAAATCGCTTGTGTCGTGGCAAGTGCAAAGTATTTTCGTCATGAAAGAAAATAGTTTGCTAATCAACGGTTGGAAAAGTTATGCCTTAAGTGGTTTATAGAATTTATACAAGAAAGACTTTATAAACGAAAGTTTAATAATTTTCAAAACAAAAAAATTTTTTAAAACTCAATAACAAACATAGAAATTAAAACTTAACTTGAACTTGTAATATTTTTTTTACAAAAACTGGTACGTTAGATGGATTGAGTACCAGAACTTGTAAATATAATTCATTTTGTAAGAACCCCAACAGCTGTGAACAAAATACCCATGACCTCATTCTGGTGCAGCTTCAAAAATATCCCCCCGGCATTTAAATTGCAGAACTTTCCTGCAGAGTGCAAACGGAGGTGGCACATGTCGTCAAAAGGTGGGACCAGCAGTTTAGAGTCACAATGAAATGTTCGCAAAACAACAAACAATTTGGTAATTACTTCAAATTAAGCACGCAAATGCGAAATGCAGCTAGAGTAATGGTAAACCGAAGTCGCCGCACGACAAATGCACAAAACTTTCACTCGCTCACAACTTTGGCGAGGTCTGCCAAAATCCGGCAAATGACAGCGGCAGGACCAACGACAGCGGCAAGGATAACGATAACGACAACGCACCGAGTAACATTTCGTGGTGGACACTCGCGTGGGATCGCAAGTCGCGCCTCAGATAGTTTCGTGGCGACCCTCGCTGGGCGCAGACCGTCCGTTTGCTTGAAAGCCCGATTCACGACTAAACGAGCGGACGACTTCATTGGTGGAACGACCCCTGCCGTGGCCCAAACGACGATGCCAATTCGTGGCCTGCTAGCTTCGGCTTTCGGCCAACATTCGGCTTTCGAAATTCACCCGCCGAGAGAACAAATGAATTCTCGCTTTCGAAGAGGGTTTCACTGGAAAGTCACTGCGTTTAAATGGAGAGCCTTCTCTTAAGATGAATGTTTGATAAGTCGGCGGCAATATTATAATATAATACCTACTATACTATATATACGAATTTAATGATAAATTAATAATAAATAATCGAATCTTTGAAAAAATTTAATAAAATTATATGAAATAATTTTTAGGAAGAGAAAAGTTTATTAAATGGAAAAAAATTGTCTGGATTGTCTAGATCAAAGCCGTACAACATATATTAAAAAATATATATAAAAAATAGTTTACACAAAAAACCATTTCATCATTTGTGGAACCTGATAACCCCAATGAACTCCAAACTCCAACCATAGACCGTTTTCCACAGCCAAAAAACCCAACCTTTTCTTGCTCCTGCTGCCACAGAGAACTTTCACAGTCAAATTAACACGCATACTCAAAACGAACAACTGCATAAATTGGCTTATCTGGTGAAACACACTAAAATGTCGGATACCACTTCTGGACTCCAGCCCCTTGACCAATGTCAAAAGCAGCTACAACCACACAACTGGAAACTGGCAACAACCGACTGCTAACCACAATAAAAAAAAAATATTCCACATACGCAGCGTTGGCTGCTGGCATCATTTAGATAAACATAACTCGAAACTTAAAACCAAGTCGGGGGCAGATTGGAAAGGACAGAACATCTGACCAACGTGGAGCCAAATTCCCAGCCAAGCAGTTCTGGCCATGAATAATATTATATAAATAACAAAACAAAACGGATAGAACCAAAAAGTAAAACATCTAATATGCTATTGTCCAGCAATATTTTCTAGTGGTTAGGCCGGTTAGAGTTAAAGCCGGAGCAACTGCTTTATCAGAAGCTGACACAAATTCCTCTTGACCATCACTTTAATCTGGAACATTAGCAAAAGTGGGGATGTTGGAAGGAGTAGAGGGTTGAGCGAACAAAGGGGCAAAAGGATAATCCGATGATGACGACGACCTAAAAATTTGACAAACGGCACATCGCTCAACGAATTCGTAAATTGTGCCTGCTGGCAAGTCTTTTTTTATATAGAATACAGATGGGTTACTTTCTTTAAAGTATTTTAAAATATTTAAAATTAAAATTTTACTTAAAAATATTTTTATTGCATTTGTTGTTGCTGTAAAAAAATAGATCAAAAACTTTGAAGTTTTAAAGTTAATTAAAACTGAAGCTTTAACGAAGTAAAAATAAAATTCTCTAAGACTGCTAGCAGATAAAAAGAAAACCTAAACAGCACCATAAAATGGAATAACGTTGCTTTCGCACTTATTTTTTTTATGCACTCAGTTTGAGAAACAAATTTAGGACTAATCCGGGAGCAGCTCCTAAGATTGAGTGAGTATCTTGCACTGCTGGATATTGTCTCACAATCCCCTCCCCCAATCCCCTTTCCCTGGCAGTGGGTTATTGCCCCTTGGGGATCAGCATTTAGCTGAAATCCAAGAGCATTTTCTGCTTTCTGCTGGTGTCATGCTGGAAACGACACCCAAAAGTGTGGGCATTAAACGAAAGTTTCTCCTTTTTTGCTCCTGATGCAATTGCAGTAAATTGCCAGCACAAAAGTACGAGGTGGTGGGTGATACGAAAAAAAAAACCCTTTCCCAATGGCGCACTGAATGGCTTTTTGGGACCATCTAGGGGCAATTGATTCCTACGGGCGACTGCATGGGCGTGGCATGCTGCTACTTAAAGCGCATTAGCAACAATCAGCCAAAGGAAAAACAAGCTGATTGCACTGAGTGCGAAAATTGCTGCGGAAAATTGAAGTGATCGGCAAATAGAGTATACCCAAACGACAAAAAGATATTCGAAGCGAAAAAAAATAATAGCTGCAATCGAATCCTTTCCCTCAATAAGCATTGGTGTCGAAATTAAGCCATTAACAGATTGGAGGACAAGTTATACGTTTTAAAATCATATTTTTTTTTTATATATCATATCATATGTTTTTTTTTTTAATGAAATATTTGTAAAGCTTTTAGTTTAATTAAGTCGATATTAATTAATCGACAAATACTCTCAGTTTCAAGAAAAAAATAATAGTATCAATAAGTTGAACTTATTACGTTTAAAAACGTAATAACTTTTTTCTATTATTTATTACATTTTTTATTTGGTCAACAGTTTTATGCAGCTTTTAATTTAACAACCACCACAGAATTTCTTTTGCAAATATGAACAAACCTTTGACAACCATATGGTATAGAATGTTTTGCAAGTAATAAATTTTACACCTTGGCAACCAAAGAACTCTTCAACTCGTATAAAAATATTTTGCGTGGTCGTTAATCAAATTAATGAGTACTTAATAAAAGCCATTAACTTTTTATTACATTTTCACCGCAAAACGAGTGGAATTGATGGTCCACAGCTAGGTACATAAATTGAAAAAATCGCCTAGCAGTTTTCAGACAGTTCAAGTGATATATTTATCAACTGTGCACAAGTGAAAATAGTCTGGCCAAATGTGAGGAACATTTTCCGATTGCGCTTGATATTTTTCAAAAAAGAATAATACCATATGAAGGCAAAGCATATTTTGCAAGGCCAATTTATAACTGGAATAATCTTAATCCTAATTACCACTGTACAATTCAATAGAATAGTTGTTTTGTTTAAATGTATGCTATATGAATTTAAAGAAAACACTTTTACCCCAGCACATAAAGTTTCCGTTAACAGTTCCCATGGTCGCTAATCTGGAGCAACTCCCTGCAAATCGGTCATACAGCGCTATTGAAACCTTTGCCAATCTCCGCTAATCAAAGCAACCCAATATTGCTTCCCACAACGTCGAATCAATTCGCGCTGGGAAAGGAAAAGCCCGCCAAATAGCTTTTCCATGGCGATTTTCTGGGCTCCAACCGGCGAGTTATGGCCGCTATTTCCGTTTGGTTTTCACAACTCAACGCGCCGACTTCCTCCGTTTGCCTTTTGCACCTCCAGGTGGCCCGAGGTCCAAAAGACTGGGCCAAATCGGCTGGCGCAGCTTCCAGCGGGTTTCAATTTTATCGCCGCCAATTTACTGCCGTTCTGTGTGTTTGCACTTTTTGCTGTTGCTGTTGCTATTGCTATTTTTCTCTGTTGAACTGGCCTTTTCACATTTTTAGCCTTGGCAAAGAAAGGAGTCGCTGTTGCATATTTTTCTTGCCACATTTTCCATTGTGCTGCTCTGGTGATTTACCATTGGGTGATTAGTGTTGTGCTATCGGGCTATAAACCAACGATGCAGCCATCGATTTACTTCAATCTGCTGATACAAATTCCATTTTGAGGCAGGAACTGTTGAGAGGTCCTTTAATGATTCAAGTGGTAAGGCAAGAAACAATATTCTGGGTATGGATTTAGTATTACGAATATATGTTCTATTGCTGACTGTGATAATTAGAGCAATATGGTTTGGGTATGGTGATGTGGGTTTACTAACAAAAGTTGTATTAATTTTCATAGACTATATGTAAGGCTTTTTTAATATTACTGCCTTTCTGTTATGATTCTTATTTTGGTACCAATGCCTCACACTAATAATCAAATAACAACTCCACTGCCATCAAGTGTATAACAATGGCTGATTTGCAACTCGAAATAATAAGGCAAAGAAAATGGTGATAGTGTGTGAAAAGGGAGAAAGGTATTGTTCACGACTTTCAATGCTGGAAAAAACAAGTCATTACAGTGGAGACAAAGTTACCGTTTGAGTTCAACATAACAATGTATTGAGTTGTATTGAATGCCAATAAGGTCAACAAATTGGTTAGGAATAACAATACTAAAGTGCAACAAAATTTTACTTGAAAACTTTATTATAAAAATCTGATATGGCAATTCTAGCTCAAACTCAAAATCTTTCCTTATTTCAATTTGAATTTGAAATAAAATATTATAAGCCATAATTACTTTTTATTTTGTTAACTGATAACTTGAAAGGCGTTTAAAAAAAATTTATAAATGACTTGAAGAACAATTAGGGCCCACTGTAGTCCACAGTCAAGCGCAACACATGCATAAATTAAACCCAGTTGAGCTTCAAGTTTAGCCAACTACATATGCGTATGCATTGGTGTATGTGTGTGTGTGTGTCGACGGGGGTGTTGGTGTTAGTGTGCGAGCGTGCATGTGCACTATTATCGATACCGAAGGACATTATCGGCACACATGCACCGCCAGACAGGAGGAAAGGGGTGAAAATTGGGAGGACGAGGACATGGGCATGCATAAAACATGTTTTGGTCGGTTGGCTGCAAATTGAATCAATAATATCCAATCATGGGTTAACAATGCGAATTGATTTCTAGCAGCCATGCAGGAGTTTCCCCAACCCTTCTTCATCCCCATTCCCATCCCCATCCCCATCCCCATTCTCATCGTCGTTTTCGTCCTCGTTCTCGTCATCACCTCTGCATTTTGCTGGATCCTCCAGGAAGAGCGACGCCTGCACATATGCAAACATGACAGCCCCAAACACAAGATAAGACCACAACAGCAGCTCTCGCCCAGCCTTGGGTTTTCTTGCTCCAAACGAAGGAGGACCCATGTAAATATTAATTAAGTTTTGGCTTTTGTTGCATTAGGCTTCGGTTTTTGCAGCAGATCCTGCAGCCAGTTAAAGGCTCCCAGGTGCCGGCAGTGCTGGCATTGTATTAGCTGCAGCATTAGGTGGTTAGTTAGTTTGCCCTTTGTGAAGACGACTTGGCTTAATCAAGTTAGCCGTACATGCCCTTTGTGTTTGCCAGGCCATTTAATTAGTTCAAAGAGTCGTGTTTGATTTGACACTAATTCGGTGTATACTTCATTGAGATCCCGTACACACATTCATTGGTCAATATTTGCGCAGGGCGACATGGTCAACTTCCTGGCTTTGAAATATGCTTTTCGCAGTCCATTAATTTTCATTTGATCTGAGATCTTGTTTTCAATTGCCAGCTAAAATCGTAATAGCCACGAAAATTTATCTCAGCCGGGGAAATTAAATTTTGTACAATTTGTAAAAGTTTTCCAAATGGTGTCGCCAACTGCCGCGAACCGAGCTCGGGCAAACTTTTACCATTTCCATTATAAGTTTTACTTGATGCACCCACCTACCACAACCCACCCATTCGACCGTTCAGAGGAGCAACCTCAATCGCAGCTTACGCGTTTATTTAATTTCGCTGGAGCATTACGCATACGCCCGAGTGTTCACTGAGCTCTTATAATTGCCGCGTAATTGCCGAGAAGAATAACTGTCAAATCCAACGACAACTTTACACTCTGAGTGCCGCTGCACTTAAAAAAAGGCTAATCTGTGAAATAAATTGGGGTATTATAGTTCCAATATTCTAGCTATCGAATTAAACGTATTTTTAGAAATAAATAATATATTTTTCCCACCGCAATATATTTTTTTCTGTGGACAAAGTTAGGGGGGATTACTTATTTAGATCGTGTAATTTAAGACAGTAATAACAACATGGCCATAACTACGTTTTCGAAAGAAGAATATGGGAAACGCAAAGCCAATGTAGTTTTTGTGTTGTGTTGCCAAAATGAATTTAGATACAAAAGTAAAGGGTGTGGATTATGAAAATTCTATATCCGGCAGTGGCTCCTGCAGCATTTCATCCACGCCGTCCACGAAGATCATAACCAAACCGAGAGCTGGGCGTAGATTCTCCGGCATGTGGGTATTATCACCCGCCAGCAGGACCAAGCAGGGTTTTCCATTGGCCAACGGCGGCAGCAAACGGGTCACGTATTGGCCCAGTCGATGGTGGTTCTCCCGACGGACATCCAAGGTGGTGAGACCCTCGGGCCAGCGATCCTCGTGGCAGCGGTCCACCATCTGGTTGAGCATGTGCAGCGGGCAGCCGCAGGATCGCAGGATATCCCTTACCATCACGTGCATCGGAGTGTCCGGCGTGGAGATCAAGCTGCCCCACGTGCGAACCGTGGCCAGTGGCAGTCCGTTGCCCCACTGCATCAGCGAGAAGCGATCCAGCTGCTCGCCAATGTTGCGCAGCACGGGGTTTGTGGATCGCAGGGCTGCGATGTAGTACTGCAGCAGCTCCAACTCGCGGCGCTGGCTCTGGATGCGCAGCTCCTGGCTGGACTGCTTCTCCTTCAGCTCGGCGATCTCCTTCACCTGCTGTTGCACCAACTCGCGCAGGTCGAACATGCAGTTGTGGTGCGCCAGCTCATCCTTGGGTACCTTCAAGGGAGAAATGGAATAAAAGGTATCAAAATTAAGGGGTAAAGATGGGTCACAGAGGCAAACCATGAATACATCAATGGAAAATGAGTATTTATTTGTGTTGTAAGTTTGTTTACTTTAAAACGTTTGTATATATAATATCATAATAAAATGTAAAGGAGAAATAAATAAATAATAATACTCTTATTCCAAAAAAAAAACAAAGATTTCACAACGGATTTTATGTACTTTTTTTTCCTACAAATCCGAGATTAAAATTTTGTTTAATATTACAGTGTGCCTTAAAATACAACTTATTTATTCAAATTCTTTTCCTAATTTTTAAATGTAATCCTTAGTTGTTTTTAAGTGTTTTAATGCAATCCCTACACGACTTACCTTCATTCCACATCCCTTGTTGCAGGCGACGACCACCTTGGGATTGTGCTCGCACTCGGCCACGTGGCCGCGGAACTCCTCGAGGGACAGCAGTTGCTCGCAGCCGTCCTGCGCGAACAGGCACTTGATCTTCAGCCGCGAGAGCATGTTGCGCATGAGCCGTGACACCGGCACCAAGTGGACAGTTAGGAGGTCCAGTCGGTCGACGGGGCAAGTCTGTTTGTGCAGCAACCACTTGTTGATGCAAACGCGACAGTAGGCGTGCTCGCACTGGGACGATTGCACCGGCTCCTCCAGGACATCCGTGCAAATGGGACATATTAGCTCCTCGTCCACATGGCCCACAACACTGTTGAGATCGAAGCCCATGTCGAAAGATTTGATTTCGAAAGCAAGGTTGCTGTATCTGACGGTATCGGGATGTAATTTGGGATTTCAGTTTTTATTTTATTCGCTTACCAATGAGTTTGCTATATACTTAAATACTTAACCGAAATAATCGATTTTTCTAATTTTTCAATCCAAATGTCTTTCAAACATCGGGGTTGAGCAGTGTCAGGGATGACATTTGATTATGAGCCAACTTAGTTTTAAATTTATTACCAATTTTCCATTTATTGAATAAGCTCAACCAAATAACTTTGAACTAAATTTAATTTAATCATACCACTAAAAATATTTTTTTTAACTAAAAGATACTTTTGTATTTGAGTATGACTTTAAACTAGTGTGAATTTTTTTCAATATAGAACACATGTATTTAAATTCTCCATCTACCTAATGTTCATTGCTTTGTGGGTTTTTATATATTTTTGTTAATCCAAAAAGTGTAAGGCTTTAGGCTCATCTGTTATGCAAACAGTTTGCATTGCGCCTCCTACAATTTGGTACACTCAAATTTCAATTCAAGCGCAACTGAAACCAACTAAACAACAAACAGAAAACTGGGAGCCATCCATCCACCCATTTCAGCCCCCTTGGGAGGTTTTTGGGGCCGAGAAAGCGTTTTCTTGAGGCACTTGCATATAGTGCGGTCGTAAAACCCTTTGCATATTTATAGTCCCAACTGCTGCGGAAGTTATGCAAATTGGAAAACTTATGGTACGACAACCCGGAATGATGCCGGCCAACGTATCTTTGGCGACCACGTACCTCGCTTAGACAAAAAACAAAGCCAGAAGCTGAATTTTATTTATAAAGTGAGATTTTAACAAATTAACAGCAAATTCTTGTACATGGGCAAACAAATAAACTTTCCATCTTCAGCTCGACAATGGCTGAATTTCGAACAAACACTCGTCAGAGAACGAACGAGCGAACACACATTCATGATTGTGACAACATATTGCCATGTCAAAATATTTACACTATATCAACTGGTCTATGCAAACGCTGGATGCAAAACTCGAGTACGTACGTACTATATACGTATGAATGGGACAATGTGTGGATGGAAATTCGGTTTTAAATTTCATTGGGATGCGCCATCCGCTTGGATATTAAATTTCATGTTTTTCCTTAGAGTGGCATTCGCCTTTGTCTGCCCTTTTGCATTTTGTGTGACAACTTTACTGCATCGAAGCCTTTTCGTTGGATTGCAATTTTAGTTTGCCATGCATTGGAAGTGGCCAAAACCAAAACTTTCGGTTGCTTATCTCCAAATGCAACTGTCAGTCGGAGCTAGCTTTTAAGTTTTCTCTGAATGCCCGTTTAGGCATTTCAGTTTCCCATAATTTCCCTTTATACTTTTTCATTTGCCTCTCAAGCTGACTGACTACGACATTATACCGAAAATTAAAATTCAGCAGTATTTATTGCATTTATTTCTCCATCTGATGCGAAGTATGGTTTAATGTATCTCATTTTGCTGAGAATAACGAAATTTATAGGAGTTCTGCTGGTCTGTTTATAGGCTTTCTAAAACACAATGCCAATATTTCATATTTCTGAACTGATGAAGCGCATTAGCATATAATCAACGATTTTCATTTGACTTGGCTCCGATAAAAACCATACAGCAAAGTGACAATCAACCACACACAAATCGAAGCACTCAAGCAGGCTAATTTAATAAGTTAAACACAGATAAAGCTCAACACACACAAACATACACAGCAAAACAAAATCAAAAATTTCTCTAATCGATATACCGAAAAAGAAAATATGATCTTGTTTTATTTTGTTTACTATAATAAATGTATGAATTTTTTTTCTCTGGAATGGTAGTACGCTTTTGAGTCAACCTTCTTTTTTTTCTGCTTTTAGATCTACAAAGGATAAACCATCTCTAGTTTCCCTAAGTGGATTTATGCACGATACTCGACTAATAAGGTTAGCAACGTGTAAACAGTCATTACGTGAGTGCTCCTGTGTTGGTATGGTATGTAACGAGCCACAAATGCTTGCCACACAATGTTTATTTACATTTATATTTGCTGTTCTTCCGTCGTTGTCATTTCATTGCAACGGAAATACGTGCCACATTGTGTTCAGGTCGTCAGCTTCCTGCCACCACATTCCCTTTGCCTCGAGGATGATCATTAATGAAGAAGGCAAAGCTTTCTGTGCTGAAGTCACAACCTTGTCTGAAGATGCCAAGATTGTTGATTAGTTCAACAAGAACATATTCCAGATTGTTTAACCAGTGCTTGAATAAAGGAAATAACTTAAATTATTATTAACAGATCTTATAGAAAGTGTTACAAGGAAAAGTTTTAAGTAAATAGAGTTGAATATTTAGAGGTTATATTATATTATTCTAAGATTATTCGGGCAGTCTTGTTTATTGAGCATTTGTTTCTAATTTATAATCCAACGTAGCGGTCAATTTCCTAGAGCAACAAGCAAATTGCGACTGCTCTTCACGTCGAAAGATATAAAAAATTACCATGAATTACTGTAATTCAGCTTTTGGCCATCGGACGATGCCCGTGGCCTTAAGCCATGTCCATTACATGGAAATGGGACATGTCGCAGGACATCGTCACCGGGCCAGGAGCAGAGTGTTTCGGCCCGATCTCTTGGCCCTGCGAGATGGTCAAGCGGTCACGTTCGCTTTGTATGACCGGAACGTGCAATTTTTCGTTGTGTGGCAAGGGGAGTTGGGCGGGGGTACGCAATAAGCACAAGTTTTATGCAATAAAATTAGCCCACACTCCACACGCGCAGGACACGCAGGATGCTTCACTGGCTGATAAGATAATTTTATTTGGATGTTATTGCATAAAGTCATGTGAGCGGCGGAAATGAGTTGAACTAAAGTAAAGTGACTACGTGCTTCCTAAGTGCTTGAGGCAGTGACAGGAAGAGGGCGTGGCAACTCCACAGGATGCCAAAAGGATGTTCGGTGGGGGGTAGTTTGAAAACGGTGGGTAAAAAGCAGCTGGTGGGTGAAGAAATGAGTGATAACTTTTTAATTGTACTAATCACTTACACAATTGCGGTAGGATGGCCAACACAAAAGAACTTTAAATATGTTGTAATCACATTTAACTTTAAACTTTAAATTAAAATGTTCACTAAAAATCGGAATAAAATCAAGACTGAGCAGCCCAAAGTGTGTCAGGTCCATAAACAAAGGCATCAAACATTTCTTTTTCAAATGACCTGCTGACCCTGCAGCTTTCATCGCCATAATCATCATCATCATAGCAGTCCTGACAGGAGTGTGGCACAAATTAGGCAAAACAGCCAAATTCATCGCGGACTTGGCTTCGACTCCATTGTCCGCTCAAGCGGTACTAAATCGCTTGTAGGACATTGCCAATGGCAATGGCCTTTTCTGACTTTCAGGAATCTGGAAAGGGAATAGAGAATTTCTTACTTAATTTGCTGCAGGCCGGAGAAAATTATACACAGAAAATAATATTTAGTAATATTTATAGTACAAAATAAATAAGGATAATTGTTAAAAATACTAATCATTTTTATTTATAAACTTACCATTCCAAGTTACGAAATGAAAAAATATTCAGCGATAAATTTAAACTCACCGACACTCACATTTACATATTTTCACCTCGATATTTATATGGATTTTTGGTTGGTAAAACCATGCTCCCCCAAATGGATTTTATAAATTATAAAGTATTCAGTTAGGACAAATATGTATGTTACGTTATGAATTCAACTTGATAATTGATGTGCCGTGAGGGCATTCGTGCGTCGCCTTCGGCAGCCTGCTCATAAAGCTTCAAAAATGTTTGCCGAGAACGTTTTGCTGGAATTTAACAACTGACCGCACACACAAAAATATTTTTTGCCACACCCGAGGCGACAACAAAACCCGTGGAGCAACAACCACAACATTTGGGGGCAGGAATGGAATGCCCGTCGAGGGAACGGCCTCAAGTGCGGCAAGAGCACTTAATACTAATTAGCTTTGCGCCTACGCCGTGACCTACGACCTGCGACGACGAGCGGCATTTCCGGAACCGGAATTGCGGGGATCCGAGTCTGGGGAGCACGGAGATATGGGGGTTCCCAACATTGGCAATCTGTGCCGCGCTTAAGTGGCCGCAACACGCAGAAACACGTTGAATTTTTTGGGGAGGCGGGTTAACAGCTTGGGGGCGTCATTTTTATGAGCTAATTAAGTTGTTAGACTTGATGAAAAACTCATTTCGTCGCAGGTCCATATCTAATTTGCATTAATTACGAGCTGGTGACAACAAAGCACAATGAACGAGAAACAAATTATTTTTTTAGCAATCCTTGCGTTTTATTTTTGTTGTATGGTTTTTTGTCCGAAAGTCAAAAGGCTTTAAGCCAGGAAACATTCACGCCACAAACTCCCCACTTCACAAGCCATATAATTGGCAGGCAATTTGCATTTATTGGCAACTGCAGAAATAAATAATGGCAATTGAAACGACCAACTTTCTGGCTGGAATCTTATATTGGACTTGGCGTGCAACACTTGCAACACTTTGTGTCCCTTTTTGCCGCTCTGTCAAGTTCAAATTTGCACATAGTTTATAATTTTCCTAGCAACTTCGCTGAATCCAGCAATTGAAATGAGAGTACACAACTTTTTAATGGCCAGTAGCTCGAGGAAGTTGGCCAGGACACTCCCAACTTGGTTGGGCCGAAAAGTTTTCGAATTTCAAGCAAATGCTTTGGAATGTCTGCGACATTAATTCTAAGCCCTTTGTCAAGGTCACTGCGGCTTGAATTCCGAATTAATCGGAAAAGTTCCCGAAAAAAACTTAAATCTCAATAAGTAGTTTGATATAAATGTTATCAGGTTAACTCAGTAAAAGTTGTGGAATTGCAATCCCGAAAGTTTTACCAAATTCCGAATGGCAAAAAAAAAACCAAAAACAATGCATATTTGAACCAAATAACAGTTTTAATATCAAGAGATTAAAAGCTTTAATTATTGTTACTTTAAATACAATTTTGGCCGCCTCTTTACGATAATAATACACTGCATTTTAATTGTCAACGAAAATATTTTCATTTTTTGGTTTTTGCTAAGCCAAAGCTAAATTCCATTTAATGGACTTCTAAGCCCCAATAGGCAGCTCCATTAAAATGTATCCGCATCAAATCAAACTTCATTTCCCTGTGCCAAAATATCACCGCAACAAAAATCAAATCCGACAGAATTAAGTGCTCCCTGGGGCCCAATCAGCAGGACCTCGCCAACTGTTGGACATTTTGATGTATAGTCGTCAAAATTGCGGCCCGCTTCCCAACCGACGACACAGCAAGTCATCACAATAAATGCCAATTTATTTTCCCTCCTTTTTTTTTTTTTTGCTTTTTGCAAAAAAAGGCAATTCGAATCGGAGGTCTGGAGAGGTTTCGGCAGGCAAATCGAACAATGATTAATCATTGCTCTGACGACATAATTATTTCGCCGAGCGATTGGTCTTGAGCGGTGGCGGCTAATAAAATCGTTGACAGAAAAGAAATTCTCCTGGCCATAATGATTATGTAATGAATATGTTGGGCGAAAAAAGTTTAGCGGACAAACTTCGAGGAGGCGAACAAAAGTGTTACCTTATTGGACGCTGGTGTCGCCGTCGTGATAAATTATGTTAATAACGTTGAGTAGGCAACTTGGCCGAGAAAGTTGAAAGCTACAAAAGTTTTCGCGCTCATCCCTTGTCAAGAATCAGGCCACGTTCCAGATCCGAACCTATCATACTGCTGCTTTTGGCCCGTTCGACCGTTTTTCGACCATAATATTGTGTGCATATCATATTGAGTGGGTTCGCCCTAAGTAGTTGGCCACACTTTCTCCCTCCCTCCTTTCTTCTTTCTCCTCGGAGCCGCATACTTTATTAATTCACTTAGCAAAGTGTAATCCTATCACGTCAATAAGATTATGGTTTCGAGAATCTTTAATATTTTTCCTCTTGCCAGCAGACTGGAGTCGGGCACTTGTTGTTGCTGTTTATGGAAATCAGAACCCTCGACTTGGCTTTTCCTTTCGCAGTTCGCAGTTCGCAGTTGGCGTCATGCATAACAATGACTTACTTCTTACTTCTAACCAAGGAGTCGGGAAATCGTCCTTCCCGACGGTTGTCCTTATCGACGAACCTTAAGTTAGCTTGGCTTTTTAATATGTGGCAACGTTTATTCTTATTTAACTAGATTGTGTTGTGGGCGTTTTTGTTGGCACTTTGGATCTGCGAGTTTGCTTTTATGATTATTAAAATGTTACACATGTTTGCCTTTCTCGATAGTTGTTGGGCACTTGTTGTAATATGTCAATAATGACCGCTGTAGAAGATAAATCTGTTTAAAATTTGGGTAAAAAAGACACATCAATAAACATACAGCAGTGTTTTAAAAATGTAAAAATAATTATTAATTTACATAAATTTAGGCACAAAATAATTACTTATAAAAAGTTGAATCAAAACTATTAAAATTTTAATAGAAAAGGAATCTGCTATTTATCTCCAAATCTTATCCTAACCTACAGGCAATTTACAATCCGATGCAATCTGCTGGATAAAGGTAAACATGTACTTATTTTGACGGAGGAAACATAATCGCTCCGGAGATCTGCCGAGATGTTGTCGCACAAATTGTTGGCCCTAAGTGGGCTCCCCAAGACGTACTCCTCATTGGAGAATCGTTAAGACAACAATACCCGGACATGGAGGAGAAACCAAAAGCAATTACGCAGTCTTGTTGACCAGAAACGACTAGAAAAACACAAAGGCAGCCGGGAGGAAGGAGATAGGATGTGGCAGGAGTTGGCCGGGTGCACAGAGAGCAAAAACATGTACATGTCCGGTGCAATAAACATTCATTACGAATGGGCCAAAGTGCCACAAACAGAGCGAAGGATACGGACATCGAGTCCAGAAGGAAAAGTGGGAGGGGCAGCTGGGCCATGGTTCTTATGGCCCAGCTGCCATTCGCAAGCAGCAGACGGCCGGGAAATCAAAGCAGGACTTACACACACACACACACACACAAACGATGGCACATCCTGGTCGAGTCCTGTAAAAAAAGGACATGTTGCAGAGAAATACGTTACGCCGGAATTGAACAATAAAATAAATGATATTTGCCCAAGTAGCTGGGCTTCGTTTTTAAATTCAATAAAATTTTATGAAAATGCTGCGATTAAGTTGTATTCGGCCCGGCGCACATATGTGTGAAAGGATCAGGATGCGAGCTGGGTGCGGAAATAAAAAGGGTCAAGGCTGGCCGGATTAGGATTGACTTTTATGACAACGGTCCGAGATCGAAGCGAAAACTATATAATCAGCGCCCAGAGTGCAACAGCTGCTGCAACAATCGAAGAAAAACGGGCAGCAATTTTTCCATTTTTCCCTTCGTTTAAGCCACCCCAAAAACTCAGCCAATGGAACAGAACGTGCTGGAGAAATTGCTGCTCATTTAAATTCGCACAAAACAAGAACGTGAAAACGAAAACAAATAAATTTGGACCATAAATTTCACTTGTTTATAATTGGCAGCTTGGCCTCGCTCGCGCATTCCATTTTAATTTGCCGTTTGAACGGAATTTTGATTCATTTATGTTCCCAACAAAAAAAATGTGTTTAAGGCTTTATTAAAATAACAGATTTTTGCTATAGTCAGATATGCATGTAAGCATTTTTAAATTGATTGAAAAAATGTACCATAGCATGTATATTTGCAAAACAATTTTAAGTGTCACGTGTTAATTTTTGTAAACGCACTATAAATGATTTTATAAATCTGATATCCGTTACCTTCTCATTTATTTATTTATACCTTAATTCCGATTTTCTTCTGGCGAAACAAAAACGATATTATTTTTCAGAATTACTTCTCTGTTATTCTTGTGCTTGCTCAACCGTAAGCTTTCTTTTATTTGGAATTTTAATTAAAAATATTTTTATTTATCGTATTTATTTGTGTTCCTTCACCTCGCTCCGGATTGCTCTCCGGGTAATTTTTTTTTTTTCAACTTTTTTGGCCGCAGCGAAACGCGTGTGACAAATGCGTGGCCATAACTTTCTGGGCTGGCAGTCATGGCGTGTGTGACATTTATTACAACATTTTAAAGGTGCTGCCTTCGGGCATTGCTAATAAATTAGCTGGCATTTCGAGAGCGTAGCAAATTGGCGAGTTCAAACATATGTGGTTGACTGTGTGAAAGGATTTGGGCGATGGCAAATAAATCATATATTTCAAATTAAGAGTCGTATAGCTTTGGGCGTTTATTACGTTTACCGCACCACGCAGGTAATAGCAATTAAATTAAATTATCATTTCTAATGTTCAGAGGAATAAATAAATAATGAAATATGTTTTAGTGTCAACGTATGAATACACATTTAA